GAGTAATCACCTGTTGCCTCTCTGGATATCCTTTAACTAGAAACTAGATTCAAAGCAGAATAGCTGAGACTCATAGCGATGTGGGTTCAGCAGCTAGTGCAGGGTCATGGGCTTGGAAGCCACACTTGCCCCACCTGCGTAATCCTATCTGTCCATTTGTCAGTGTAATGACTCCAGAGAATACCTCCCCTTAGCTGGAACCAGAAGTGGGCCATGTCACAGAGTCACTCCCCTTTCAAGCCTCTGAAAAACACATGCAGAGGGGGGGCTCACTCTCCCTCCCTTCTCTCTCTCTTCCCAGTCCACATTCATCCCTGTGATGTGATCTTAGGCAGCTAGTCCAGGGTCAACAGTTTGGAAGCCACACCTCCCTATCCTATGTAACGCTTTCTGCCCACCTGTGAGTCAAATGATGCTCACCCAGCCTTCCCTGGAACCTGAGGAGGGTGCTGTTGCATAATCACTCTCCTCCGAAGCCCCTTGAAGCCCATGCTGGGTAGGGGGCTGGCAGTCTCTTGCTCTTGTTCTAGTGCCACTTGCTTCACTCCTGCTTTTGCCCTTTTGTACCCGCTAGTTCTTTGTCTTCCTGTGGATGGACTCTCCGTTACCTTTCACTTTCTGGCTCACTCTCCCTGAACATGGCCCATGTACATCTATATTCCTCATCTCTGAATAAATTTCATCACTTGTTTAAGCCATGTTGGTGCCAGTGGTTAAAATGCTTTTAAAGGAAAGGGCAAGAGCCTAGAAGAATAAATCACATGAAGCAGAGGCATAAATGTCAAGTGGCTTTTACCAGCAGCATTTTCACTGCCTATACACCCCCATTTTCCATTTGAGAACATCACAGATCACCCTTCAGTCAAATTTTCTAAAAGCAGAGTATTATGGACCCTGTGCAATTACCTAGTGGCTAAATCCTCGCATTACATGTCCAGTATTCCCTCTCTGTATTGGTTCATATCCCAGCTGCTCCACTTCTGATCCAGTCCCTGTTTATGGCCTGGGAAAGCACTAGAGGATGCTCCAAAACTTTGGGACTCTGAACCCACTTGGGAGACCCAGAAGAAGTTCCTGGCTTTGGATTAGCTCAGATCTGCCATTGCATTTGCTTAGAGAGTGAACCAGCAGACAGAAGTTCTTTCTCTCTGTCTCTTCTTCTCTCTATAAATCTAACGTTCCAATAAAAACAAAATCAGTCTTGAGAAAAAAAGGCAGAGTACTGTGTGTCACATACAGAAGAAGTGTTGTCCACAAGTTACAATAGCAGTAAAAAAAGAATGAGGTAGTATTAAGAGACAGGAGGTAAAGTAAGTCCTTTTCAAACAGAGCTGGCTTGGGCTTCTCATCTATTTTGTTGCAGCGAATTCAACACAAAAAATGAAGGCAACCTCGATTCTGGTCTCACATGAATGAAAAATTTTCATGCAGATAATTTTAGAGTGCAAAGCGAGATTTACAGTGACAGGAAGGGGTGCCAAAGGAGGAAAGACCTGAGAAAACAGTGCAAGTGTTCTCTTTAAAACACAACTTTGGGGGAACAGAACAACTGCTAACAATCAGCAACAGGACTGGGACAAAGCTTGTCTAGCTTGCCTTTGATTAACAAGAAAATTGAAAAGTGTGATTGGTTACTTTTTCTTTTCATTCTCTTGATAAGTTAAAACTCAGAAAGGCAGAGAGACAGTTTTATCTTAATAAAATTACCTTCTGGGAAGAAGCAAGCATTTTGTTCACTTTTAAAGAGACTCCTCCCTTGTGACTCTTACTACCTATTAGCCTAGCAAGCTGCCGGTTTTTCCTAGAGTTTACATGATACTGGTTCATGTTCATTGTTGATACATATATGCTACAGTGCTGTAAAGATAACTAAAGGGGGAAAACAATTCAATTCAATGTGTTAAATTTTCCTTCCTCATTGCCTTAGTCCCTGCTATGTGTTAAAATGCTTAGGTGAAATCTTAGAAATTCAGAAGCACTAAAATGCAAAGCTGAGAACGTTATAAAGTCTTCCATTATGAGAAATCTTTTTTAGGGGGTGAGAATAGTTTATTTCATAACTCAACTTTCAATGGTATATTGTTATACTAAACTACTAAAAGATTCATGAATTCAATATAAGCTAAACACCCCTTATTTTACACCACTGTATATGTGAAACAACTTCCAGTGCCATAAGTATCTTTGCCTAAATTTTGTCTGGTCATCAGGATGCCATTGAAGACTATGCTAATAACATGCAGACATAATTAACTGTGTCTCTAACAGGCAACCTCTGAACTCTGAATTCCTTTTACTGGTTTCAAAGGATGCTGCATTTTTCATTAAGTTCTGTTTCCACACAAAGATTGTGAGTGTTAGCTCCTTTCAGTTTTTGCCACCACAGACCCAGGACACCAGACTCATGCAGGGGGTCGTTACTCGGTGCAGGAGGAAGCAGATGCAAAGAAGGGAGAAGAGGGAGAGAGGGAAGAAGGAAAGGAGGGAGAGAAGCTTGGAGAGAGGGAGAGAGAGAGAGATTGGTAGACAAGGAGGTAAGTGGGTACTAGGGGAGGGGCCACCAGGGATTGGTTGATAGGGCCAGCATCATGAGGTTACAGTGAAGTGGTGGGAACAGAGTTAGGACATTACAGCAGACTGGTGGAGAACAGGGTGGAGAGGTGACAGCAGATTGGCAAACAGCAAAAATGGGAACCTAAAGGCTATGAACATTAAGGAAACTAAGACCTAGGAAAGCACAAATTTTTAAAAGGGCACTGAGTCCAAAATGTGGGAGTCTTATCACACATTGAGGCCAATGTTCCAGTCATTCCTCAGAGGGAAGCTTTGGAAGTGAAAATTTGCTAAATACACATTGAAATCAAGATAGTCTTTTATCTTTACAGCTTCAAGATTGGATACACATGTCAAGATTCATAACGCTGTTTGGAATGGCTGGATCCTGCCTGATTGTGATGGATTGGTATTTGCAGACTGGGTCTTCAGGAGGCAGGTAGGTTAAACAAAATCTAATGAGGGTGCAGATTTCAACATGGGATTAGTGTCATTGCAAAATGAGACACTGGATAATTCACTTTCCCTCTAATTTGTAAGGCTATAGAAAGAAGACATCTGTTTAGAAGATAGCAGAAGAGCCCGAACCTGGCCATGATTGTCATCCACAAGCAAGGAGAAAAAACAACTTTCCATTTAACCCATAAAAAAATTCAAGGCACCCTGAGCTGATTAAAACCATATCCATATCTACATATGTATATGGATACTTAAATATGTAAACCCTATGAATATTTTGAAATAATATAGTTAAATGTATGTACCGTAATATTAGGCTATTATCTATATATAGATTGTGTAAACTATCTATGTAGCTATATTAACTGATTACATGGAAAATCTCATAGCGGATCAGAGGTAAAAATCTGATACAATGGCATTTCAAAACTTTGATGAAAAGTGAGACAATCCAAGCCCACTAACACTTCGGCTACATCTTCAAGTGGGTGGCACAGGAGTTGCCTAGCCACTTCCTAACTGGCTGAGAGACCACCAGTGGGGAATGTCTTTCCTTCAGGTTCCTGCCTTGACAAGAGAAGGCCAGGAAACCTTTAAAATCCCAAGACCCCTTCACAAACCTCGGTATCTCTCCTCTCCTTTCCAGAGGCACCCACCTGCTAGCTTTCTCCCTGGAGGTGCTCTGTCCTTCCCTCTTCTTTCTATGTTCACCTGGTTACCTTCCAAGTGAAACGTCTCCCTACAACTAATTCCTGGCTTTATATTTCTAGACGCAGTTAAGAACTTTCCCCCCACCCTCCAATGACAAAAAGCATAACTGACAGATTATTGGGGGATGGGGGGAATGGAATGACTCAATTGGCTAATCCTCCACCTACAAGTGCCAGTATCTCATATAGTCACTTATTTGTGTCCCAGCTGCTCCACTTCCCTTGCAGGTCAGAATTTATGCACTGGGAAGGAACTGGATAATGGCCAAAGCCTTAGGACTCTGCACTCCAGTGGGAATCCCTGGCTTCTGGCTTCTAATTGGCTCAGCTCCACCTGTTGTGACTATTTGGGGAGTGAGTAAACAGTTGGAATTTTTTTCTGTCTCTCATCTCCATAAATCTGTTTTTCCAATAAAAATGAATATTTCTTTAAAAGTTATTTTGCAGCAAAAAAATAAAAATAAAAAAATGAAAACTCATGCACTTAAAGGGGGACTCAGAAAGTTCATGGAAAATGTTTAAAGAATAAATGCATGGGTTTAAAAATTAAATGTATTTTTTACTTCAATTTTGAAGGATATTTTGAAATAGCCTCATATATTCTACCTAATAAAGAAAAGAGAAACTAAAGGAAGCACTTGGAACAGTAAATAGAAAATCTCTCACCAGAGACTCTTACGTTATTTTTTCGAAAGACTGATCTCACCAGACTCCAGTCTCAGTATTTGCATTTTCGCATCTCCAGGGCACAAAATCTACCAAGACTGAACACCCATAAAAACCTGATCCAGTCTCATCCCATTCCTCTATTTTCTTAAAATTCCCTTTCATCAAACTATAAAAAGTATGAAAAGCACAGTCTCCTGAAGGACTGAACCTGGTCATTCCATCCTTCTGTGAATAGACAGCCACCCACTTGAACTTCTTAAACTCTAATAAATTTCATTTTGGCTGTGAATTTCTTCCCTGTTTCTTCTGTTGTCAACAAAAGAAGTCTCCTTGCCATTGGGATCACTCATGAGCTAAAATATAAACCCAAAATATAATGTGAATTTTCCAAAGCTTGCTGTAATATTGCCATGATATATTCTTCATTGAATTTTCAGATTAGCTATTTTAAATGTTGCATTGAATATGACAGTGATATTAAAAGACTGCAATAATTCAGAAGCCCAGTTGATTGAGCAATTCATATTGCATTAATTCTGAGCATACCCTAACAGGAAAATATACATTAAAAATACTCAATGTATTGAAAACTCTGATGGAAATCAATACCTATATTCCTCCTGTGTGAAGCGTGGAATTTCTCCAGGGTGTAAAACAAGAATTTTCACTGTGGCGCTGCTGGACATCACGGGCTCACCATCATCAAATGCAATGACCACCAACTTAAAAGTAGTACAAATTCATGTTAGAAGCGGAAACAAAAAGAAAATCAAGCATCATTTTTATACACTTGTTCATAATTAGCAGAGGAATCAACAAACTCTTCCTTGCTCCCTACCAAGCATTGTGTCAGCAGATGCCATGTTCTCATTAATCTTCATAATAATCCAGTCTGGCAGGGCTTGCAATTTTCATTTGTAATGTAAGAAGATTCAAGGAAGTTACTAACTCTATGGTTTTAAGAAGGCTTCCAGGAAAAGAGATATATAATCCTACATCACTCCAATGAAAAAGCTTTTTTTCCTATAAGTCCACTGATGCCTACAATAGAAAGCATGTGCTTTAAATAAGTATGCTGATGCATTTTGCACTAATTTAAATAAGTGTACTTATTTAAAAAGTGTTAAATTCAGTCACATCAATAGCAAAGAGCTAATTAGCTTGCTTATAAAAGAAAACTGATTTTTCTCTGTGAATTAATTGTTTGCAAGATTGTAGGGACAAAGTTCTTCACTCTGGAGGATAATACTGGAAATTCTTACACTTTAACATATTTGGTATACAATCTTTTAAAAACCACTAAGTTACATAAAACCAGTCTCACAGTAAAGTGGCAGTTAACATAGACTGAAACAATTAACTTTACTTGTATGATATGGTATCTATATTTAGTTTGTTATGACAATATATTTTACGATTGAACATGTTAGTTATAAACCAATAACAAAGCCTGGCACGTTGGCTCAGTGGCTAAATCCTTCCCTTGCATGCGTCAGGATCCCTTATGGGGGCCAGTTCATGTCCTGGCTCTTTCACTTCCCATCCAGCTCCCTGCTTGTGGCCTGGGAAGGTAGTAGAGGATGACCCCAGTGCTACATAGTTTAGGTGGCCACTTCCTTCCTAGGGTCATCCCTACCTTGGAAGTGGTCCCAGGCCACTTCCCCCCAGGGAGCAGTTCATCAGTCTCTTGCTCTCTCTAAAGTTATTTGAGCAACTCTAAACCTAACAAGAAGCAAGACTCGCTGATTAAAAAAAAAAAGGTTAAATTACAAACATATTTCCTTACTGTAGCACCAAGGGCTTTGTTCACAGTGCAAAAATAACTGAAAAATAACTGTAAAATGGAAATGCTCACTTAATGAATAATTGTGTTAGCTAAGACTATTCTTCAGTACTTTTAACATGTAGAAGTATTTTTTGACCATTCCAATTAATGTAAAAACCAAAACAAAGAACATATTCTGTTCCATTGATGATTGTTGTGAAACTTTAAAAAATAAAATAGCTACAGATATTTTACATGTCTTGCATATAGATTATATTCAAAGATTGAAAATAATATGATCCTGTGGTAAGTGGCATTAAGAAAATAGATTCTCTTCCTCAGTATAATAGAGTATGTCACAGGGTTATTATTTTTTTCAAAATTTTCTAGAAGCATAATATATCAATAGGATATCAATTTGATCCAGTATTTCTTCTTTTGGGTACATAAAAAAAAAACTTGGCAGATGACATTTATGATGAAAAACTGGAATCAAATCCAACAATAAGGTATTAGATTGAAAAGAAAAAAACATTTCTGTGCACTCATAGATCATAGAATCATTAAAATGATAGCATTAATATTTTTATCATGGGAAATATGTTATTGACTTTTAAAAAGCAATATGAATTATCTTACAATATTGTCTTAAAGTTGTATACTTAATATTTGTAAGCCATGCCATCATGGATGGGTAATGGGCAGAGAGATGAAATAATAAAAGGGAGGTTCTCTTTGAAAATGCAACAGATCTTGCTTCTCCACTACTTTGAGCTTTCTAAAGGCAAAATAACAAATTTTCCTTGTTTCTATTTTTTATCATAAAAATAGCAACTCTTGGGCAGTCAGGTGGCAGCCCTGTGGAAAATGGGAAGGAGGCAGTGACTCCAGCCTTCCCAGGGCTGGACAAGTTGATCAGTTCTGACCTTCTGAGGACTTTTATCCCTACCCTCTAGCTGATCCATTTTGTCTCCTCCCAGAAACTATGTCTAAAAAAATGTAAGTTTTCTTCAAATACTGCACAAAGTTTGTATCTTTAATAGAAATCGGTAAGTCTTGAAGATTCTTCTTTTATGTGAGAACTGAGGTGTGCTCTGTCCTTTGCATCAATTACCCCATAACTCCATAAAGACAGAGGCCAAAAAGGTAAATTCTATTTATCATTAATATGATAAATGTCTTTTTTTCCATTTCATTGAAGAAAAAATTGTATTAAAAAATAAACATACAGGAATACTCGTAACAGTTGAGTCAAACTGAATCAAAATTGAAACATCTTATGTATAACATAGATAATGCACTGACCTTAAAAATTGTGGTAGGTTCCTCATTCAGATTGACCCGAGTTATCACTCTTCCAGTTTCTTCTTCTACATCAAAAATACTGGCAGGATAAGGAGACTGGATGTCATCGACTCTGTACCTCACTCGACTTGCAGGTAATCCCTGAAATGAAATTTGTTTACTGTTATGAAACAAAACCAAAGTAAACCGATAGTGTTACAATATTTTTTCTTTTTCAATCAATGACCTTATGGAAACAAAGAATTACATGTCACAGTTTTAGAGGATGAAATGCAACAGTTGGCTCTTGAGTATAATTCAATCCTAACCAACGAACTGTCTACAGGTTATTTTTAAATGATTTATGAAAGAGAAAAACTTAATAATAGCCTTAGGCATCTTCTCTTTTACTTTCCTTTAATTATATGAATAGCAGCTGCTTTCCAAAATACCCAGGATCTCCTTAATATTTTATTTCTTGAGACAATTAAAAGTTTTCTTTTTCAACCAACATTACTTAAAATATGTGACATACAGAAAATGACAAAGTGAGTGTGATCATGGCAATTTCTCAAAATGAGCATGGAAGAGAAGGAAATGCAAATCATTTACTTTGAATTCTGTGGTAATTACCATGTAATTCACTTAGATTAATCCTGACAAAAACCTTTTAGGATAACATTATGAATAAAGATAATGGTAAAATAATGATTGCTAACAGTTATTAAGTGTTTACTTCTGCATGAATCATGTTAATATAGTGCATGTATACTTTTAATTTCTAGAGCTTGTAAAGATATATGAAGATACATTGGAAAAACAAAGAACATTGATTTCTCTTGTTCATGTAAAAGGAACAGCTTTCATGCATTGAAATGCATCTCATGAGACCCCAATGTAGGGAAGAGTATTCCAAGGTTGTTACTTGAGTGGTTTGAGAGTCCTGAGACATTTTTGGCTTCATTGTTCCAGGATTCGTAACATTTTTCCAAGGTCTACTGATTGACAAAGCTCTCCTCAATACCTAGGAGCATGTTGCAAAGCTTGGACAGAAGACTTGCTCAACTTGTTCTGCTATCCATCCTCTGATGAGGCATTGGGCGTCCTTTGCTGGCCTAGATGAGCTGACTGTCATGTTGCCTGCGTGCATCTGGGCATGATATTGATTGCATAGGCATCAGCAACTGGGGAGGCTCAGTCCAGACATATGTGCTCCACATTCCTCTAGCAGGCCCACTCCCAGTCCCAGATTTTGATAAGCCAGCAGGTGCTGTGGGACAATGTGAGATAGCCTATCCCAGTCTTGGTCCATCCCAGTCTGTCTCCAGTCCCAGCTCTCACCAATGGGTGCAGTAGCCTAGCCAAGCCTGGATCACTCCAAGACTTCAAATGAACTGGCTGGGAGTGCGGTCCTATCCAACCTGATCTGTGTCCCATCAAAGCTCTTGCTCATACCAGTGTGTACTACAGACTGGCCTAGCCAGGCCCACCCCTAGAAGTAGCTTACACATATGCTGAAAAGTGGTGCAACCAAGCCTGATCTAGCCTGCTTCCAGCTCTGGTTCTCATGCTCACCAACAGGAGAGGCAACCTAGAAGGATTGTTCCCCAAGTTCACCTACTAGGTCTACTCCTAGCCCTGGATCTTCTATGTGTTGGCAGGTGCTGTTGTCCAGAATGATATGGCTGGGCCCCAGTCCTAGAATTCACTGACAGGTACTGTGACCTAGCCTAACTGGCCTGCACCCATTCCAGCTCTCACTAGTGGGGGCTACATCCTAGCTGAGCTTAGACTATCCCCACACCCAGCTCTTATGTTAACTAGCAGGTGCTGCAGCCTAGCCTAGCCTGGCTTAGTCTAGCCTAGCCTACCTGTCAACACCCATTCTTGCTCTCACAAGTGCCAAAGGGTGCTGGAGCTTAGCTGAGTCTGGCCCACCCCAAAACACCAGACCACACACATGCTGAAGGGTTCTACAGCCTTCCCAGACCAGTCTGCCCCCCAGTACTGCCTCTTGTACTCACCAGTGGGAGCTACATTTTAGCAGGGGTGTCTCCAAAGTTCCCCTACAAAGCCCATTCCCAGCCCTGAATATTGCATGTGCTGGGGCTGTGGGAGGTGCTTTAACTCAGCCTAGCATCACACACCCACAACCTGTCCTGGCTCTTGTGCATTCCTATGAGGGTTGTAGGCTGACCCAGCCTGGCCTGTGCCCAGGTTTGGTCCACTCAAATACTGAGGAGTGCTGTGTGCTGCCCCCAGCCCAAGCTATTGTGCTCCCTAGCAGGAGTTGCAGCCTAGTAGGGGAGTTCCAAGTTCCCCTCTCAGGCCTGTTCCTAGTCTCTGATCTCATAAAAGCAAGCAAGTAGGTATCGCAGCCCTACTTGTCATGACCTGGCCTCAGTCCTAGTCTTTGAATACACCAGTGTATGCTTCAGTCTATCACATTCCCCCAACCCCGCCCCACCGCCCCACCAACTCCCAGCTCCTGTGAATGTCAGGTGATTTCCATGGTCCAGCCTGGCTCAACCAGACACTAACCTAGTTCTATGCACAAACTATTGGGTACTGCATTCCCAGAGAGGTAAGCCCACAACTCACCTACAAAATCTGCTTCCAGATTCAGTTCTCTCAGGTTCTGGTGGATACTGCAGCCCAGCCTGAGGTGGCCCACCCCGTGCTTTGACACTTATGGTCAGCCATTGTGGCCTAGCCCAACCAGGCATGCCCCCAGCCCTAGCTTTCATGTTTGCCAGTAGGCTGTGGGTAATGCTATCTGGCCCATTCATGGTCTCTTACACGGGCAGGCATAGCATTGGCTAGATACAAAGCAACTAAGGCAGTTGCCTACAGCTTGCGCAGGTATTTCATATCTTTACTCTAGGCCTATAGAATGTGTTCTTATCCTATACTTTTAAATACTTTGAATTTGTTCATAATTTCCAAATTTTGAATGTGTGGCTTAACTCTCAATCCTTAAAGTTTAGACACGTTTATACAATTTTCAAGTAGACATTCTATTTTTTTTCTATTTTTAATTTGCCGTATTTAAAACCCAAGTCCATATTTCTTTTCCAATTTTGCATGTCTTATATTCTAGAAAAACGCTCCCATCTTCTATGAAAGTGAACTATATTAAAAACTATGATGATAACCTCATTAATCCTTTCACTTTCTCTAATATCCTGTAACCAAATCATCTCTGTGTCTGGCCAATACTCCAATGACTGTATTTCTGTCAGACATGTGTTACCTGTAGGGGACTTTCCAAAAAATTTTTTTTATTATTTTCCATGATGCTATTTTATAGATAGAGACCTATAAAATCCCCACTTTCTTCTCCACTATTTCCCTTCCTGCCCCACCACGTCATATTACTACAGTAGTATAGTTACAAGTCTAACATTCTGTTGTTCAAGTGCATCATGGCATGGCTAATATAGAAAAAGAAAGTCAAGATATATTTAACTTTTTCACTGGGAGTCCTCCTTTCATTTGGGAGTGGAGATATGAACTGCAATGTATCTTTGCTTTGCAATATGCTGGTCTTCCTTATACAATCCGCCTATGAGAATACATGTATTCACTTGTTTACCTATGTATTTACTGATGTTATATATTGCATGAATGTTACCTTATATCAGAAAGCTTATCATATTTGTCCTTTTGGATTGGCTTATTGGGCATAATGGGCTTTTACTTGGTTTTGTGCAGCTATTCTATTATTTATCTTTTAAAATATAAAGCACTTCATAAACCCTGGTTGAAAGCCTCCTATGATGTTCTTCATTAACAGAACAGCCGAGCTCCATATTCTGGGTTATGAGATGCTACAAACAGCTGATTTGTGCTTATTTAAGTGCATCCTCTTATTTATTCCTCTTGGACACATTGTCCTTGTCCCTGCCTATCACGTCTGATACACTGCATCCCAGATTTTTAGGTAACAAATGGCAGCTTCCTTTTCCCTTGGTTCTCTACTTGCAATATATGATGCAATTTTTTTTTGTTTCCTCATTTTCTATTTGCCTTCCACAGAAGGAATTTAAACTTTCCCAAAGGACTCTATCAGAACTCAATGAATGGAACTTGGGCCACTGAGGGACTCAAGAAGTATTCAAAGGATGAGAAAGTGAATGAATTACCATGTGTCGAGTATTACCAGACACTAAAAGTGATATTTAAAGCCTTCACTTATTTCAAAATTTTGGAAAAGCAGAACAATGGAGAAATAAATCTTTTTCTTTAAACAATGGAGAAATCTTGGGAGAATATTATGGGACTATCAGCTGTAAGATGCTATATGCATATGATATACTGATTTCATCTAGTGGTAGGTGGTCAGTTGAGCTACTGAAAAGGCACAAAACAGAATTGTACACACAGAAAAAATTTCAGTATGTATAAAGAATCAGGCCAATCGAAAATGACACACCCTGAAAACTTTGCACTTTAGTAATAGTGATGATAACCAATGTAAGCTATCGATTTAAGTGGTTCATCACATATCAGATTATAGTTGGGAAAAATCCAGAAGATGGGATGAGTAAGTACTCACATTTTACAGTTTCTGAAATTGAGGCTGTAAGAATTAATTCTTGTCCTGAAATCTCCGTAGCTATAAAATATCAACGTTATTTTCTTTTTAACTTAGACTTGCCTTACTCTGTGACACAGGTCCTTACATATTTTATCTCTAACATATCTTAATGACAGTAAATAGTGCTTTTATAGAGGAACAGCATGACAATGCACTTAGGCACAATTACTTGGGAGAGATGCTTTAGAAGATGATGCTCTAGGCTATCTCGCCTTAGTGCACCGTCCAGGAAGTTACACAGCACATACCCCAGCTTTCATTTTGGATGAAGAGGCAAATACAACAGCAACATTGAGCCATACGTTATTTCAAGAAAAAAAGTTCATAGTTTTTGTCATCATAAGTGCTCATTGTATCTATAGTACAGTAAGTGCAAATGCTTATGATAATAAAAAATTGTTGTCAAGAAATTTTAAACATGAGAAATACATTAAGCATGTTGTCTTAAGTGAAGTTAAACCATTTGTATTACATTTGTGACCATTTTATTTTTATTAATATAAAGAGAATATATTTCACATGGTTCATAAATACAATTCTAAGAATATAAATGCATGTTATA